ATTTCTGCTCGAAGCTCTCCATGGCGATCTACGAGGTGATGAAGATCAAGAAGGTCACCACCAGCTCCTACCACCCACAGACCAACGGCGGCACGGAACGCGTCAACCACACGATGGCCCAGATACTTGCGGTGGTCGTCAACGGACAGCAAAACGATTGGGACATACATCGCTCGCACGTTGAGTTTGCCTACAACAATTCCGTGAACCAGTCTACTGGATTAGCGCCAAACGAGATCCACATCGGACGCATCCCGCGACTCCCGCTTTCGGTCTTCGATCGTCCCACGGTAGGTGATCATCAAAGCTTGGCCCGCGATCAACTCGAGTATTGCAACCTGGCTGTCGATCGCCAGCGCCGGGCCTACGCACCATGGTCCGTGAGTACAACGCGCTGAAGATTTCGCGAGTCGAACGCCGAAATTCATCCCTGCTGGACGGCATTCACAAGCTCCCTCAGTTTAACGTTGGCGGGTGGGCTTGGGTGTACAACATGGCTGCTCCAATTGGACAGGGTGTGCAGAAGGACACGGACCAACAGGTGCTCAAGGCCAAATTCGCACTTTCCTGGATGGGGCCCTACAAAGTTCTTGCGGTCGGTCCCACAGCTGCCGACGCCACTCCGGACGGCCGCCCGTTGGCGCATAAACTCCTCTACCTGGACCTGCCTTCCGATCTTTCCGGCCCGGCAGCTCGTTGTCGCGTGTCTGTCCTTCGTTGCAAGCCCTGTCGCAATCCGTACGAGACGGACGACTTGCCGCAATCTCTGCCCGCCGAGCTTTCGCGTTATGTTCTGCACTCTTTCGGAGATAAATGTCCACCTTTCCACGTCACCGCGGATGATGTGTCGGTGCCTGTCGGGCGCCTCGAGGTCGACTACATCTCGGGACATCAACTGGTGCGGGGCCGTAGCGGCGCTCTCGCCGTCCTGTACCAGACGCATTGGGTAGGCCTGACTACTCCTTCATGGGAACGGGAATCCGACCTTGATCTATTCCGTCGACACATCCTCTTGTACTGGTCCCGGGAGGCCTGCCAAAGCAACCAGGGTAACCGTACATATCGAGTGGCTCGGACTCGCGCGGCACAGCGGGAGCTAGCCCGGAATCGTGGAGAACGCTATTTGCCTCACGGGGCTGATCTTGTGCTTAATGCGACTTGGCTTCGCCGTTTCCGCACTTCGCCCCTCCCTGTTGGCGCGCGGCTGTGGTACAAGGCCCGTGATGGATTGTGGTGGACCGGACGCATTGGTGCTCATCAGGGCGGCTCGTACATCGTTCGATTTTTGGATGACCCGGGCCCAAGCGTTCTTCCTCTGCATGCGCATCTCTACTCCACCGCCTTGGACGCCGTCTGTGGATCATGGTGTTTAGAGAAACATCGTTCGCGCCCTCTGGGCGACAACCGTGGTCGCACTCCGCTCCTTGCTGACTCCTTACCGTCGGCTGTTCCCGCCGTTTCTTCTTAGCGTCGTCGTTTTGATATACCAATCGGCCTATTTTGTGCCATCCTTCTCGCCGACGTTTTTCTCTGCTTCTTTTTTTTTCTGTCACCTTCCGTTTTGTTTTGTTTTGTTTTGTTTTGTTTGTTTTTCTGTCTTGTATCTTTTCTTTCGTTGGCTTATTTGTGTTTTGGACGCTAGGGCAACGCCGCCTCAAGACACGCAGTGTCGAGTGATCCTTCTTCCCTGTTGCCTGCATTCATCTGAATCAGTGACCTGCCGCGACCTGGATGTCTGTTCTCTCTCGTCTTTGCTTCAATTTTTTTTTGTTGTTGTTGGTCTTGGTTCTCTCAACAAGCTCCCTCCGAAGTTTCGTCGGTGTTGTCTGCCTCTGAACACTTGGAAAAAGAGTTCCCCAAGTTTCGTCGGTGATGTTTGCCTCGGGACACTTGGACACCGAGTTCCCCGCGTTTCCCGGTTCGCCTGTTTGCCGACTAATGTTTTCTTAATTTATTGGTTTTTGGTTCCATCGTGCCGCAGAAGTGTCGCATACGCTTGGTGCTTCGGGATTCCATCCCGTGGCGTCGCCTTCTTCCATGGATTTTCCTCGTCACCCACACTTCGTCCTGCTTCGTCTCCATCATCGCCACCTTCGGGCGAAGCCTTCATCACAGTAGCACCCCTGAGTCGTCGTCTTGTTGTGTGAATCTCTACGACTTTCTGTGTTTTATGTCTTTGAGCGATGCGTATCGCCAGCGAGCCATGGCACAGTTCGTCGACCGCCTCCCTCGCATTAATCGCTTGTGCTTTGCATCCTTGGTCCTCAANTGGTGCTTCGGGATTCCATCCCGTGGCGTCGCCTTCTTCCATGGATTTTCCTCGTCACCCACACTTCGTCCTGCTTCGTCTCCATCATCGCCACCTTCGGGCGAAGCCTTCATCACAGTAGCACCCCTGAGTCGTCGTCTTGTTGTGTGAATCTCTACGACTTTCTGTGTTTTATGTCTTTGAGCGATGCGTATCGCCAGCGAGCCATGGCACAGTTCGTAGACCGCCTCCCTCGCATTAATCGCTTGTGCTTTGCATCCTTGGTCCTCAATAGGTCTTGCCCTTGCCGTCTCCTTATACGAGTTGGGTACCCTGGCACGCTGGCCATCGTTCTCCGTGCCTTTGCCTGTAGTTCTTTTCTCCTGCCTTTCGTTAACGGCCTAGATTGAGTTGGAGTCTTCCCTTTGCGTCGCGTCCAGTATCAAAGGCCGTATTAGTTCGGAAATTTGTTTGGGTTTTGAGTTTCGTCACCATATTTTGGACTCGCTCGGGTAGTCACCCTCATTCCTCCAGCGGTGATACGCGCGGGTGCGCAGAAAAGAGTGATGTGTGGCGTCTGGATATTCATTTTTTTTTCCCTGTCGTCGTCTGTTCAGGATGATGGCGTGCTCTGCCGCAATATATATTCTTCGTAGCTTTATCCCTTCAAACGTTCTCATTGAGATGTCGATGTTCCGTCTCGTGACCGTTTACATGCTTCATCTCAACGATGGTGTGGGGGATTGATTCGGGATATTTCTACAACTTACCCTCCTTTTGGATGTTTTGTGAAGAGTCATATCTTCGATTCATGATCATAAATCATCACCTAAATCCTACTGTAGCTTTAGGATTTGAGCATTGATTTTGAGTGTAGAATCTGCATATATGACATTCAGGGTGGGCTAGTGTTAAGGAGTGTGGCTGCTAGCATGAATAGGGTACATCTTATTCTTGATAGGATACGGGTCGGTCAGGAGGTATACCCTTCTGACCCCTACCCCCTTAGAATTGTCTACTCTGTGTACCCCCTGAGATGAAGATGGATCCCCACTTCATCCCAGACCCTTCCTGATCGTCTCTCAGCAATAACAAGCAACTTTCCCATCTCAACGTGATCGTGGACAAGCGTGTCATCGACAGAACCTTCATCTATATCTAGGAGCAAGCTACAGCCCACGGCTCCTTGAAACTTGGAAGGTGGGAATAATAATAATTAACGTAGCATTCTTCTAAATGAAACAACTGGCGTAAACAGGGAATGTGAAAATTCCCGGTAAGCCTGCAGTATCTAGACTATGCAGGTTTCAGATTCGTACAATGGCCGTGCTTCCCCTCTGCGCCGTTGCCGTCCAAACCTGCCTTAGGTTCAAGCACCTAGGCGGAAAGAAGCAACACTGACGAGGCGCGCCCCACTTCCCAGGATTCTTCGGTGCGCAGCGAGAACGCACCTCAAGATATCCGTTCCAGACATGCATCTGGTAGTTCATGTGATGATGTCGTGGTGTTGAAGGGAGGGTCGGATGAAGCCTTGACAACGGATGTAGTGTGAGTCAAAACATCTTGAGATGCCGCATCACCAGAAGTGAAGTCAACTCTCACAACGGAAGCTATAGTGGGCGCGGGATTTCGGTCGCGGAGAAACTCAGCGCTTCGTGGTTCTCGATTGTTTACAGCAGCGTCGACCTTCAATTTAAGAAACAAATGTTTGGGGCGAGGCTCAAAAAGCAGGGGTGTTCAGTTCACGGGGTACACCGTTGTATATTGAAAATATTGAATTGTCAGGGCCATCTCCGGTATGCTGGGGTGTCATACCTGGAGGATCCGTTGGGAATACTCTGTTTTCAACGAGAGTTCACATGCGGGGAACGGCACACTAGACAGCGCGGAACGCAGCTGCACAGTACGGTACTGTGTAGTTGGAAAGAGAAAATTGGATTCGCAAGCTCAGGGTACGAAAAGGTGAGTGGAAGGCAAGGGTGTATTCCTAGCGTAATCCGGCAATACTAATGGTGTCGCGGTTGACCCTCGAGGCTGCCTGGTTTCATGGACGGCAAGCTGCTGTGCTTCATGTCAATGACGTGAAGCATACCGTACTACACACACGACACCAGGATAGAATCAGGACCCTAATGTGTCCGTGCACACCAAGCCATTTCATAGTCCGAAACTCGTCAGTGCTACGATGTTTTTTCAGTGGGTGATGACCTCTAGGATCAGGACAGACAGCGCACGGCCGATGCTCTCTGGCCCTTTCTACACGATTTCACCGTTGTACTGAAACCGATGCTACAACAGCGAACCAGACCACCGTTTCTGGCTCTCCGGCTTGCTCGAGACCGTTCAACAGGGCAAGAAACCGTGGGTTGCGAGGGGCCCTTTGTGCCAGACCCCTCGTACTACCTTAATGGTATACTGCCCGAGAACCTCGCCTATTTCCACGACTACAAGCAGTGACAATTAGTTTTCGCCCATTTGCACGATGCACGACCCTAGAGTGGGTTTCGTGGCAGGGCTTTGGATGCAGGCGACAACCGGTTCATTCATGCAAGCTTGAGGTCATTCTGAAAAAAATGGCAAACTACTGTGTGCTTTTTCTTCACGCTACAAAATTTCCTCCACGCGTGACCCGAAGTAGCGGCATACAAGTCCAAGCAACCAGATCTGACTCCGAAACACATAAGACATGGTCAACAACCACATCGATCGGCATCGGCCAGACCTTTCTCCGCCTGTACAAAACTCCTGGGGATGCCTACCTTCACATCCGTGACACAATGGCCCACAACAATACCGGACTACACTCTCAAACCAACGATATCATCGAGATTTTGTTTCGTCCGTCGTCGCAAATGAAAATTGATGGCCTTCTCTTCGCCGCTTCCCTTTCCCCAATGCAGGTTTGGAGGGGAACACACTGTTCCATTCCAGTCTTCGTCGGACAGCCGACCTTCGCGTCGAACGTACCTATCGCCTAGTTCCTCCCACCGAGTAACATTTTGTGCGGAAAAGGTTACCAATCCCCCCCGCGGTAACAAACTACATGTTTCTAATGAGATCTTGGAACGGTTCCGCGCGCAACTAACGGTAGCCTGCCAGGGTGCGGGTTACACGTGCTGCAGACTGCTGAGCCATCCCCACCTCAGCCGCCTTCAGCAGTTACAGACCCTCTACCTTCAAAACTGACGCATGTACGAATACTCAGTGGCCAAACGGGACCCACACACACACCGTTTGAATAAAAATACTTCCATACGTCGGTCGTATGTATATATATTTATCAAAAATACCTCGAGGCACAAACAACGCTAGGCTGGAGAATGGCACTGTATTGGCGTGTCAGGAGTGCCACACATAGTTGGGCTTGCCTCGAGCCTCTACCGTTTGCTCGCGGGCAAGAAAATCACTAGATCCAGGCAAAAGTCCTGAAACCTGAGAGTGGACGTGGGTACGCCATAGCTCCAGACTGAGGAGCCGAGGAAACCAGGCCCATCGATGTGCCGCAACCAAACTGCATGAGCACAAAGAAGTGTGAAGTCGCCCCATCACAAGGTTTAGCCTGACAACGAAATGCCATTCTGGACAACATTGACAGCCACCTAGGCCTTCTTCGTGGCTCTTTGCGGCTTCTTCGACCGCCCGGGTGTCGAGTGCCTCGGTCTCTCCACCTCGATCCTCGACTTTCCTCTGTTCCTTTCCCACGCCCGCTCCCTTCTTCTGTCGTGGTCGTTCTGCAACCTCTGCTGCTCCTCCTCCTCCTTCGCCTTCTTGTGGGCGGCCTCCCGCCGCGCCTTCTTCACGGCGTCCCTCTTCTCCTTCTCCGCTGTTAGGCCAGCCCGCCGGCCCGTCAGCTCAACTTCCTTGGCCAGTTTTCTTGCTAGGCGTCTCTCTTCCAGCCGACCCTCGGTCGCGGATATGCTGCTGCCGCTCTTTTTGAGGGTCCGAGACGCTGCCGATTCCGCCGCTCTTGCTGCCGATCTGTCCCCTCCGCGCTGTCTTCCCTGCAGAAGCGGGTGGAACAACGCAATTATGGCAAGAAAGCGCCACACTCGTTAACATATGTCCTCCCCGAAAACAAAAATAAAGCAGTACAGTTAGATCTCGAGATTAGGCCGCTAACGACCAGCAATAGATGGCACAAAACCCAACCTAAACCACACATTTTCTTCCTGACTTGGTGGCCGAATCATAATTATCTTGGAGTGAGAACCAGATCTAACAAAAAAAAATGCTGGTTCCAGGTGGAGGGTTGGCGCTTCATACTTGACAACCAGCTGTCTCCAGATCATACTCTATGAATCACTCGGCTGGGATTTTTTGTCCGCATCTGAGAAGACCAATATTTGTTGCTACTGAATTCTAGAGGGGTCTAGCCCGTTGCTCGTTTTTCCTCCTTTGAGCTAAAAGAACTGAATGGGTGATCCTTGGGTATTAACACACCGCACGAAACCGCATCCCGATCCAAGTTGTTGCGGTCGAGAGATTTCAAACACCGTATCGGCACTCTTGAACAGCTTGTTGCAAATCAGCATGTCAACACAACAAAAGTTCGCTGCGTGCTTGGAAAAAAGAACAAAAAAAATAGAATCGTGCCCCCTTCCCAGTCTTAGAATTGAAAGAACACGAGCTGAGGGCACATGATGAAACAATTCCGTCGGGGCATCTTGGTGTAGGACCACGCTTGCCATTCGATTCTCAGGCCCTAATGCACACCGCTTCGGCAGGCGAAAGTGTCTTAAGTGTCGAACAGCAAGGAGGCTTGTTGGCGCCCGCAACAACACAAGTCGAGTTAATGGTTTTCGGAGTGTCGAATCATCACCCACAACAACAATTACTGCACAACCACCTCGCTGAGTGAAACCGGAGCAATGCCACTGCCACGCACGCGCCCTGGCGAACCCCAACGATATTCGTGGAACGCGCAAGTATCGGTTGTGGGTGATGGGAGGGTCGAGGTCGAACGCGCAAAGCAAGATCGTATATTTGAAGCCCGCCCCCACTCGCCTTCTATCCACATGTGCGCATCACAGCTAGGAGCCTAGACTAGACGTATACGGCTGTCACTGCCCCTCAAGAGGTCAAACGTTCCGAATGAGATTTCAAGATACCAGGTAGACAATATCGACAGCATGATGCCAAGAAGCTCCGACTGGGAAGAACACTCCCCGGTTCCCCCACCGACAGAACAAAGGTGGGGTTATCCAACTGCAACCAAGAACATAGAGTGGCTCTCACAATTGTTTGTGTTGGTAGGTTTTCCTCTCGGGACACTGAAAATGGGTCCGATTCTGGTAGTGTCTCCGTGCTCTTCGCGGCAATGAAATTGTACAGAAGAGGCCGAAGTCATAAGCTGACCTACCCGAAGGTGTACAGAGAAACAACCTGGCAAACTGACGGCCACAGACTGTTCTTGTTTAGCCGTGTATGTGTTGAATGACCTTTTATCACTTGTACTTAGGACAGTAGGGGAGATCGAGACTCTGAGACGAGGTGGCGGGAGAGAGAACGAGCAGATGCGTGCGCTCCCAGAGACCCGCGCCCCGTGCACAAACCATAAACCCAACCCAGGGTACTATCAGCTCCTATCTGAGATACAACATAAAACAGTCCGGTTGGTATGTCCAAATCCGCCGATGCACACACGGACAGCGACGTCCAGCCGTTCGCGAAGAGTTGCAATTTCGCGCTGTTCTGTGAGTACTCATGTTCCTCTCCAAAACGAACCCTTAATAGACAGAAGCTCTAACTATAAGGTACTGTAATACTCTCTCACCAGCGTCTGTCCCATATTCGAAAGTCGCCTTCACTTCTGGGCGACGCGGTTCGACTCCCTCTCCTCGATCCGGCTGTAGCCAAACTGTGCGATCGCATAGCAATTGAAAAATATCGCACACGAATATGTAGGAGTAGGTGGAACCCGGATCGGGATGGAAGCAAGAGAACACGCAGGGCCACACCGACAGCTCTGGCCGGTGCATAAAACGACACGGTAACAGATCTCGGCGCCGTCTCAGAATAGGGATTAACATCAGTACCGGGCGCAGGACACAAGAAGACAAAGGTTCACGAAACGGTACCATACAAGGAACTGACTCGACATTTGACCCCCGAGGGTCCACGCCGATTTGTCAAGACAAACGAGTGCCGTCCTCTGGCGATTCAAGCTGGAGAACACTGCGACCGGGCCTCTTGAGTCGGCATTCATCGGGGGTTTTCGCACCGATCACCGATCGCTGTCGCCAGAACAACTTCTGCACAATGACCGTCCTGCTTGATGCGACTGTCGGACCTCTCAACTCATCCGATCATGTGCAGAATGGACATCCACCGTGCACTCGGTTACGAATCAACCATCGCAATGAACCAAACTCAACCGTCACGACGGTCCGAACACAAACAACACTACAACACGCCGAGGCCTGTTGGGCCCTTTCCTCTCTGCGGCGTTCCGGCCGTCTCGCCTTGCCAGCGACGAAGAAACATCCGAAATACACCGTCACCGCCGCCGCGTCCACCGCGCGTGCGACACAATTGTTCCGACATCGGATAGTCCCGTGTACAGGAATCCATCTTTACAAATCAACGTTCACTCTCCCGCACGACCGTACACACAAGAAACCTCTGCGGACCGACAAGCACACAAAATACACAACAGTAGGTAGGCCCAAATACGTATCGGACTATCTCATGTGAGCCAGGTTATCGGCGTTGTATTTACGTTGTAGTACGCAATCGATGCACATCAGTCCTGTCCTCGCTGCCACTGCAGGTGGCGCTCTGCCGCTATTGAAGACTTCAGCAGCAGTTGTGTTCTACCCACAGACGCTGCAAGCTGTGGAGACACCTTCGGCTGACATGTCTTTCAACGCTACCACGATACACCCCACTTTCGTTTCCAGCGAGTGGGAAACAAAGGTGGAAACTTGCCCCATTATGTAGTGCCATCCTGTGTCCAGAATCACGCATCGTATGCCGGAAGCCATGTAGATTCACCAACGGCGGTGGGTTCGCCATTTTCCAGTGCTTGCATTTACTGCGAATTAAGGTCGGCAGTGAAACGAAAGCCACCACAGACACCCACAGCGAAGTCACAATCTGTCAATGTGGTACAGCAGTGTAGGCCAAAGGGTAACTCCACAGCGGTATTTGTCTACACCAAGTGGCCCACCGCTTCTGTCCCCCCCTGTATCTGAACGCTTCTGCACCCCCGCCCTCGACACCGACCGCCCAAGAGCTCAGCCTACGCACGATCTGTCGAGCACTCGCATTCAGCGGTCGGCGGCGTGCTCAAAGACCGGCCGCCAGCCAGGCATGCGTGACAGTTACGTTCCTCACCCTCACCTCCCGCCACCTGCACTCTTCCTTCCTCCGACCCCACTCCGCTGTGTTTCTTCTACCTCAAGACAAGTTGTTCCAGTACCGAGATGGGGGTTAGGGTCTCTAGATGGAATTCAGTTCGTTTCTCGCCAGGGCTGCAGCTGGGTGTACACCGCTCGAACTCTGTGCTTTGTCTCGGGTCTTGGGGTCTATCAGCAGCGGCTAGATTGTCAAACGTCATTTTGGCAGCGTTCGTTTCAAGAACCAACGCCAATTTTTGGCCAATAGGGACGGCAGGCTCAATAAAATAGGTTCTGCGGTCAACGGCAGTACGTCGGTTGTACATGTAGTGTACGTGGTTGTGGGTTGGGGGTCGCCAGAACTCCGGACAGAGCGGCGCGTGCGGTGCGGATGCGGAATATTGGGAACCTATGTAGAGCATTGACATATCTTCGTGACAGGTGAGGCACAGAGGTGCTCACCGTCCTGCTACTGCTGTGGGGCTCAGGTAGTACTCCAGTTTACTGCAAGTACTTCGAGAGAAAGGTGAAAACCGCTTGGATCCGACTGTCGCTCCTTGGACGATTGTCCTTCGCAACAACAGCCCCAGTCGAGGGCGGCAGCCCTTCTGCTGTGCCGTCCCCAAGCTCTTCGTCTCCGTCATCAGACACAGAAAGCTCGCCGCTGCCGGTAGGCATCGTGATACAAGCCCTTGGGCATTCGGGCAGCACGATGAATGGGGAGCTGTTCCGAGAACATGAGGTGCTGTGCCCTGACATGTACATGGTAGATTGATTCGCAAGTTGAGACCACCTTCCGTGCACAGCAACCGACTGCTGTAGCCCTTACCCGCTCTTGCCCCGCGGCTTAGGCTGTGCACATTGAGCAACCTAGCGTTTCAATTATCCCGCCTTAGAACTACCTGTGCAGCAAACTACATAGCTTTTCACCGTTCAGCAACTTAGCGCTAACCGCGCTACCTACATTGTAGCTACCCTGCCGCAACCTGCATAGCCTTACAGTAGTACGTACGTTGACTTACGTAGCGCTCACCAGTGTACCATTGCGTTGGGTCGGATTGGTTGTGTTGGGGTTAGGGATAGGGCTGTATCAAAGGTTTGGAGCAGTGCAAAAAAATAATGCAGCAGCAATAGCCTAGTGCTGGCCTGGCTATTGCAACCTATTTAGGGCTAACGGTGCATCCCAGCCCACGTAACGATGCACAGCAAAACCTAGCCCTTTCCCCCTCTTTCGCCGTGGCTTAGCCTGTAGCGCGAACGGTACAGTAGCAGCCTACAACGCAACAGTACAGCAACCTAGCTTTTCATCGTACAGCAACGGCTTGCCGCGACCAAGGCTTACTCAGCACTGCACTTTCCGATGGCAGAGGTTTCCGTCGGGTCGGTTGGGTTGGTGTCAGGGATAGGGCTATGTCCTATGTTTGGAGCGGTGCAGAAAGGTACAGCAGTAGCAGCCCGGGTTCGAACCAGCAACCAGTACCTACAAAAGGCGTTCTATTCGTCGGGGCAATTTCTCCTCCATCCCGGACCACCCTCGGCGGTGCCTCGGGCTATAATTTATACTGTAACTCTGGAGGTTGCATACCGGAAAGTTCCACAGGAAAATTCCCGTCAACCGTATTGCGTTCGACCAAAGTCATCAGCACCCTGTAGACTCTGTAGTAGAGGTTGTACGCAGGAAGGCTCCACAGGAAGATTCCCGTCAAGCACTTCGTTCGACCAAGTCGTCAGCCATCATAACTCTCTTACAGCAGTCCATCCCAATTTGATGTTTTCACCCTAAATATGGTGGTGCTCACGACTAACACGGGCTTCTCCCTCTACACATCAATGTAGGCAATCTCACGAGTGTCTGCATTCCGCAGGGATTCGAGCCCACGAAAACGTGCTGCGAGACTTCTCTATGTACCAAATGAACAGCACAGCACAGCCGCTGTTTGTCGTGCCACGGAGCTCTTGCGTTGGGGGTATGTTGTAATATATACAGCACCGAGACTACATTGTAGCATGGTCTAGTCTACCCCTTCACGTTATTTTCTTATTATTTCCTGTAGAACTTGGACCTCTGAGCTTGTTTCGTTTGGGCCTGCTCTTTGTGCTGTTATTAACTGTATGTGCCGCGCAGGATGTTGTTGTTGTTTTTGTTGTTGTTTCTCACATTAGCTCGGTAGTCCACTAAAAATGGGGGCCCCGTGGTCTCAAAACCCGGCACAGGACGCCGCGGGGAAACAAAACAACAAAAGGGTACAAACCACTCAGAAAAAGAAGACAAAATGATAAAAAGAAAATTACAGGTACCGCATCGACCGTTCGAGAAAAGAGCCCTCGGAAACCGATCAAAATAAAACAAAAACAAAAAGGAGGACGCTTCCCACACCCGCCTAAAGAAAAAATCAAAGGGTAACGTACCAGCACCAGGCACTACGCACCAGGGCATGGAAGCAACGGAGCAAACACGTTGTGTATGTGTACGAACCATGCCAGGCCTCTGGCAAGGGGGTACTGGGCATCTACCAAATGCTCCTTCGGGCGGAGTGCTTCGCACTTGTACGCAGATGAATTGCTGCTTCGTCTATTTGGGATCTTACGGGGCGCTATCACCACGCATGGGTTCCTTCTGAACCGGGCTCAAGCGCGACCCCGATGCAACGTAAGGAAATCTTTAAAACAGTAGCATACGCAGAGATAAACTAGAACTGCCGAGACTCCCCTCGTGATGCCGGGCTCTCCTGTATGATCCTTTTGTTCCGCCGTGTCAGGTTAGTCCGGTGTGAGTTCGATGTGAAGGACTCCCACAGACTCGGAACGGACGGCTTTGCTGCCGGGTTTAGCTCACCTGTGGTGGCCGATGTGCACAAATCAGTCAAGGCCGACAAAGGCAGCGGTGGTGGCTATGGAGCTGAGCTACTCCATCGAGCGCACCAAGCGTTGATGGACGCTTGCAAGGAGAGCAGGTGAAAACACCCGATGTGTGAGAGTACAGAGGTAATACATTTGAGCAAACACGATGGTTGCTATCCTACAGCACAGGATGAAGCAAGTCAAGGGTTGTCGGCACGGGCTGGTGGGACCGGGTACAGATATCGCTAGGTCGAGCGTACCTTGGGAACGACCGAAACGCGCATGCCTACAAGTAAGTGTGGACGAGGTCGCTCGTGGAACCTGGTAAGGGAGTGAGAAAGATCGACGGTGAAGGAGACGGGGAAGGGGGAGGAACTGTTTACATCTGCCTCGAATACAACCCCGCTCACCCATTCTCCCCGGCAGTCAACATTGACCAACGTGGCGCTTAGTTCTTAGCCCTCCCCCATCTCGCCCCCGCTCCGTCATATTTCTCAGAGCTGTGGCGGTCAAGGCTATTCGCTTGCTGGACGGGGTGGGCGATGCCTCAAAGTACGACACCTCGGGAGTGAACATTTTGCAGCTCGTGCGTGACCCTCGCGCGGTAGTTCGGTCGCAACTGAGGCTCTGGGGCTTTAATAGGTTCAGCGAGGCGCTGCCGAACGTTCGAAAGTTGAAGAGCATGACGGACTGAAGGAGGAGGCAGACGGAGTCTAGGCGTGCCGTGGGACAATAGTGAGTACACCCGACCGGAAAACAACGACACGAAGGATAATCTAGAGGGTAAAATTAGGGCCGTGAAGATGTTTGCGAAATCGTTTCGGTCTATTACCCTGAAGAAAGGATTGGTGGTGGACGCAACGGGGCTATTGATGGGTTGTTCCGATCCCGAAAAACAATATCAAGGGTGTTTTACGTTGTTGCTCTAGTAGTCGCCCTTTGAGGGCCATCGATAACAAACCGGATGGCTATCGTCTATTGATGCGTGCCTCGACTTGCCGTTGGACAGGGTGCGTCATGAGCAGGATATCATCACAGGAGGATGGCGGAGGATTCCCAGCTAGTGGCCCGGAACACGTGTTGCTCATGAACGTTTGGGTGGACGTTTGGCCGAAACGCTTGTCACTCGTTCCTCCCCCTTGTTGGTGTTCAACTTCGTCAACTTCCCCGCCTTTTGTTCGGTCTTCAACAACAAACCGCCCGACCGCACATTTTATGCTCAACTACCTGATGCAGCTAGATTCACCCAAGCAACAGCACCTGGACCATGGGAAGTACCTCCAGGTACGATACGAAGACTTTGCTACACTCCCTATCGTTGTCGATGAACTGCTGGGCTGGGCTGGGCTGGGCCCCCTTCCCCCAACCGTGGCAATGTGGATCGACGAACACACCAAAATGCCGAACTGTGATGTTGCGCACGGCCCGAGAACGCGCCGCCGGATGGTCACCAGCTTGGTCGCCACCGCAGCTAGCCACGAAGGTTGTGGCGGCTCCATGGCAGTCTTGGTCAGCGGGTGCGAACAAGACGAGCAACATCACCGGGAGATAGGCCACACCGGCGCCTTGCGGAAGCCAGAGAACCTGAGAAAGAGGTCCAGTGGGCCCATACGTGCGAGCCACCGGCAGTCAAACACAAAAAGGGAGGCTGCGCGCTGCGCGCGATAGGGAACCCTTTGACCTTCAGGGATATGCCACGTCGGTTCCGGCAAGTGGAACAACAGCGGTGTCTACTGGAACAACCAACGGGAGCCCTCCTGTACGACCGGATTCTCGAAAGGTCCTCCTGTACGACGAAGGCACCGGCGGGGACTGCATCAACCAGAAACGTTACTCCGACCAGCATCCCTACGACACAAAGAGGTACTCCTCGGCCATGGTAAACCTGTGGCGACAACAGATGCCCCAAGCGGACGCCAAGGCCGTTTGGGACGCTTGCCAAGCGTCCAGGGTCATGGAGGAGCTAGATTACTCTGACGAATGACGAAGTGGGCGACCGACATTGATCGGCTTCAGACGCCGAGGATGGGTGCTAACCTGATTGGCAACGGTGGCCTCCGCGTGTCACGTACGCTTGAGGATACACGAGTACTCAAATCTTCGTCTAGTCTTTAGTCTATGTCGCCGACCATTCTACGGGTACTGGGGAGCTTGCAGCAACGTGAAGCTTCTTCGGATCACAACGATGCCATCTCGTAGGTACGTTTTTGTTTCCCGTTGTTTGTGGGCGTCGTTTTTCAAACACGCCTAGTTTGATTGGACCGTGGATTGGATGCGCTCATGCACCATTTCCCGATCAGCAGACTGGGCCTGTTTGTGTTGTTGTGGTGGGCCATAAGCGAACAAGGGCAGCTCACGCCTGAAAACGTCACTGCTGTGATTGCGTGGATGTGACAGTTGTTAGTGGGGCCGATGAGGCATAACCTTGTACTTCGCGTAAAAAGTATTGGTCATAAATTGGACACCAAGTCTAGATATTCAGCTCGCGTGGTGCCGCGCTCTCACGCCCGATGAGTACTCCAAGGGATGAGACGGTCTTGACACGACACTTGTCAAAGAACGCAATCCACAGGGGTTCAAATGTTGAAAGCTCGAGACATCTAGATACTTGTTTAGTCGAGCGACGATCGGGCCTCCCTCAATCACTGACTTTTGTCTCACGCACACCTCCTTTTCCCTACATCCAATGTTTCGCGGTAGATAGGCCCATCCGGCTCATGGACTGCAGCTGTCAAAGTTCGTTACACCACAAGGAGCGACGCGGAAATCACCCACTCCCGCGGCCTGGTACTGCACCACCAGCGCCCAAGCGACGGCCAATCACGCTTTAGTGCTTTGGACCGGAATATTGCTGGCGCCACCGAACATCACTTCTTGCCCTTCAGATCGCAGTGAAACTGCCGCCGGAGTATTGCTAGCGCCAAATGTTGGTCAGGGTGTAGAAGATGGCCCAGACGGAGGAGGGCATAATTGGATCTTTTCCTTTCCAAAAGATGCAAACTTGCTATTAACCAAATCCGCAGAAATGGAAAAAAGAGTAAAACTTAGGTTGCTTCCTTGGCGGTGAGTGCAAGCACGGCCTCTCCTGACAGCATGTCTTTCGGCTGCAATCCCATGGTGACGCTCCTCCGGTACACGGACATGATGGACTCGGGCGTCACCAGGTGAAACACATTCCTGCAAAAAAAAAAAAAGGCAAGAACACGGAAGGGTACGAAAAGTAGGCATAATGCTCCGAAACAGTTTCGAAACGAGTTGGAGAAATTTTGACATGGGGTCGGATTGAGGCCTTGTTTTCTAGTACAACGGCATTGTCGAAGGATTCGTTTTCTCGAAGTTTCGGAACCATTTTCAAAAAACCAAGACAGAGCTTGTTTTTGGGTGGCCGAAGGGACCGCTCACCTCAGGGCCACGATGGCGTTCCTCACCCGACAGATATTCGTCCTAACCTCCCCTATCGTCTCCTGTGGCAGACGGAAGCACAGCGAGGGCGGAACCACCGCGAAACGCACACAACGAGAGGCCGGTAGTTGTCAACACTTGACAGTAGGCACAACATGTCCGCGGACCTTGCTAGCTAGAAGTGCCCCGGGGAAAACCTAATGATTGACGGGTTGGGCGTTGGTCGCCATGCCATACGGTGATGGGAGTGGCATCGCGACCGGAAATTACGAGCTTGCTTTTGGCGCTCAACCCGATTCTGGTTTCGCGGGCAAAAAAATACGCCCAAACAAGTCCCCAAGTTACTGGTTTGCTGTACCGCCAGGACATCGATACGAGAGATATGGCAGACAACGACCAAAAAGGAGGCGGGGGGGAGAGTAACACCAGTACTGTACTCGTTGATGAAAAAAATGCATGTCACTGACCGCAAGATATCAATCGGCGGCAGAGACAGTTGGTGCGGTATCCCTGGCGCGGCCGCTGCTCGTCACCGCGCAAACTAGCTGTAACCAATGCACCGATCTTTACCGTCTCAGCGTGCTGTTTTCGTTGGCGTGTGAGCGTCTCCGCCTTTGGGGCCACGCTCCCCGTGCCGGCCGCGTCTCCCTCCTCCTTGCCCTTCCACTCTTCGGGAGGTGTTCCTGTTTTGCACGTACGAACAAAGAAAACAAAACACGCACGGTATCATACATCCGCGAACTGAGAACAACATAAACGTCAAATGCAACCCTTGACTGCTACGCCACAGGAATCTAATGTCAACATTAGGTTTCCGGGGAGCCCAGTGTCAAGAGCGAAGCAGGTACTCCCACGTACAAAACTGTGATTGCACAACCCCCGTACCGCAGCAACACGTCCCAAAACCGGTCTCGAACGGCAGGAATACCTTGCAAAACAATCTCAGTTCTGAAGAAAGCAAGTCCTCGGAGACACGCTTCGCTGAGAAACATACAACACATCATAAAGCAAAAGTCGGCTTTGCAATGCAGACGTTCTTACCCAACCCCAACCGCTATCATAATCCCCAGCGGAGGGAATCGGCCCGGACCTCAAAGAAGACTCCGCGGAGGGGTTCGCGGCGAGGAATACCCGTCCTGGCCAGAACCGAAAACCCGGAAGGGATTGGTACAGTAAGGTGGGCGGGGTAACGACGGAAAACTCACTCGAAATCCAGACGTTCCCGTTGGTCCCCAGGATGACGTCGACGCCCGTATCCGGCAGAGACACCACGTGCTGCTTCAGTCTTCGGATCAGCACGGGTGGCACCGAAACTAGCTGCCCGTTCTCCAGCTTGGCGAGGAAAACAGGCGCACATCGGGGGAGAGTTTTCAGGAAAATGGGGGGGGTGTAGGATGACCCGATGGGGTGTGCGCCGTGTGGTACCCTTTGAGGTGTTTGCGTAGCTTCAAGAAAGGGCCTCCGTGACCCCCTGACGCCACGCTCACTGCCCCAAGTACAAGTCTCCAGCTGGTGCGTTGGTCGAAAAGGTCGAGTTTCGCCATACTATTGCTCACCAATCGCAACCGATGGAAACAACGTGGTACTAACAAAGCTTGGCCTGAGAGACGCACATATGGCACATACACGGTGGCAACCGAAGCGTCACTATTGCCTCCAGCAACCGACAGTAAGACCACACACCTTGCCATACTTAAGGCTTCTGGTGTGGAGAGCGATTCCTCCGTCCGAGTTGACCTGTTGGACTTCAGCCTGTTGAAGGAAAACACACAAAAAAATCATGGTACACTACCAGTCTGCCGTTGTTCCCTATGGTTTTTGACGGTGGATAGTCAATGAAGACTTTGCATTGTCCGTATGTTGGGCGGGTCGGCACGGAATACGGCGTTTCTGCGTTGATTTTCAACATTCTACTGAACTCTTACAGCAGCGGCAAGCACAACAGAAAACAGGCCAATAACAAGACGAGGCCAATGAAACAGAAATCGACTCAAACCCTTGCCGAACAGCAATATCTGACACTGACCGCCTCACACCTACTGCCACCCGCGTCACCACAAACGTCCGAACACCGACAACACCAAGGAAAATTCCCACGAAGGAAGATGCCATGTCCTCGGGGGAGGAACAGTCAATAAAACAAACACGAAAAGATGTGGCAGAGCACTCACGCTGATGAGGTCGTGCTCCTGGAAGAACGAACGCATCTGGAGCTGGTCCTCGTAGGTCCTTATTCTCTGCTGCCCACCCGGAAGGTTCACGGAACTAAGCATCAACACCGCACTTCTGTGCGCACCGACCTAACCCGCACGGCGAAACGGGGCGGAGCCGGATTGAGGGAAAGCGAGTTTGGACTTTTGATTTTATGCCACAAGCAACTAATAGCTCACAGATGAAGCTCTTCTTCGAGCAAATGGGGAAAGGTTTCCCGTGCAGTGTAAAAATCAGCACGGGGGTGGTGTGTTGGGGGGGAGGGGCAATGCTGCCTGTTATACGTTGTACGGTAGTATAGACGGTGTCGTTCACCGGATGTTTTCGGTTCATCGCGTGGATTGTCGCAACAACCCAGGGCGTTGTTCTACAGCATCACCCGCAAAGCAGGTCAAGGTCGATGCCAGGGCTATGGCTGAGGACAGATAATCCAGGCACACCACAACCCAATCACCAACTACCGATGTGCCAGAATCAGTGGTCCCGACAACCAGTCCACAAACACCAAGCCAAGACACGTAGAGAGTGCACCAGGAAACATACCGGGAGCGGGGGACACCAGATTGCGGTGGGGTCAAGTTGTGCGTCCCGCTTGCTCACCTCCACGCTCCATCGTTTCGATTGTACTTCGGCCACCCTTCCGACGACCAGGTCGCCTACCTCGCCGATGTACCTTCAGTCAAAATAGCGTTTCAGGATCAGCAGCAAAGACAGGCGCCAGTTCTGATGTCGAGCAAAGGGCGCCAGGAACCGTATGAGATGACACCCGGTCTCGAGATCTATGCCGAACGAAGCCATGCGAAACAAGCGTCTTGCTCTAGTCGTAAAAGTGCAGGCCGCACGGGCGAGACCCGGCTGTGGTGCGGCATGACAACGATTGCAGGGAAGGCACCACAGGCACCTGGACTTGATTGGTCGGACAGAGATGAGCTTGTTCACCCTCTCCACCACTCCCGCAACACACGCCAGGAGCTTGGGAGGCCCGCCGTCCGTCCCCTCTTCCACGTACGTCCCATGCCCCCGGAGGTATCCTTGCACAGAGGTTATCTCCTAGGGGTGTAGGCAACGAGTATGCACACGAGATTTTGGGTTTGCGGGGTGGGAAGGAAAAGTGGGTGGAATTCTCCACGGTTGCGTTACGATGGGTGGTGGGTGGCCCGTTCCGAGACCCGACAACACCGGTTTGACGGAGATCGAGAGTGTCCACAGATCCGTAACGCATCGCGGTTCATAGAAGCTGTTCAGAAAGCCGAAAGACGGGAAGATCTGACGGTGAACAAGGCCCATCGAGAGCTAGGTAGCACCGCGCAATCACCATTAGCTCGTTAAGACAACATCGCAATTCGACACGTTGGGTGTGCATAGATGAAGGTTCAGGTGCTCTTCACGCCTTTCGTCGCTACTTCAAAAGAGCCTGTTCGACCTTGTGTGCGTTTGAGGCACCCTCCTCCGCCTTATGGAACCTGAAAGGTCGCATCTGGGCAGAGGAAATGATTCCTACCGGTCCACCACAGCTCCTCCGTGCTCAAGGTTTACTCAAGCGGGTGTGCGCTTAGCACGGTCGAGGTGCCTCTGACGATCTCGGCTCACCTGCCCCGGTACCACGATGATGTGCCCGGCAGCACTCATGCTTGTTGCGACGCCCTCGTGCCCTGGTGAAACACCGTTACCTCGTCGATGCAGCAGCTCAACTCAACCAGACATCACCAGCGCGCGGTGGCTGTAGACAAAGGGTGGGCGACTTGCGCCTTTGCTGGCGATTTCGCGGGTGATGTCCAGAACGACGCCAACTTGACAGTCCCGCGTGGTCGAAATCGCCAAGACCGCGCCTTTTTTCTGCTGCTGTCACCACTCCACGGGTAGCGATTGGTGCAACTGGTACCACCGACACCAAAACCAGACGAGCACCTTGAGCAAGCGATCCCCAAAGTTGATCCGGGGTGGTAGTGGAGTCTGGGTCGTAGCACTAGGCTGCTCAGGACCTGCGCTATCCACCAACACACCGTTTTTCCTGTCGAGTGTATACAACGCAGGCGCACACCACCTTCTCTAGTGACCAGGGGCCACACTGCACACCGCTGTTTCCCTCCTGCTTATCACAGCGTATCTCAAAGCCGTACCGTTCGATGCGACAGCAACCCTGGGAGCGAGCGACGGGCTGCAAGCAATGCCTGCTGCCGCCCTCGCTTCGTGGGGGACATTGCCACGGCATTTTGGTTCGGGGATGCTATCAATCAGCCCCGGGGGCATCGGAGAATCATTCACAGAGAGGGTGCCCAGCGAGACAGCGCCTAAGCTAGGCACCACCTGCTACACCAGGCACACCAGCGGCAGGCCATACCGTGCGTTGAAGAGCGAAAGGAAAGGATCGGATAGCTTGGTTGGGCTAGGAGAACTTTTTGCGGCGAGTGGAGGAGTGAAAGGGCGGGACACCTCAGCGTTTCTGAGCTTAACTCTGGGCTGAGACCACCAAACCAGAGCGATGGTAAGCTGTGCGGCCACTAAACTCTGATTTTGAGTCGAGCGTGCTTGCGTTGCATCGCAAGCTACCTGTTATGGTCCAATAGCTCTCGCACCTCCCCCTTATTGTCCACCATGGAATGCTGAGGCCGCGTTTGGAAGCCGACGACTAGATCGCATTGCAACGTGGTCAAATACCCATTTGCAGGCTAGGGTGTGTGTGGTTCAATCTGGGACTGACTCTCGATCGCTCGAAGTCAACTCTCTTAGGTGCCCCACCTCTTACTCCGACTCCTGCCCATCTGCTGCTCCCATTGCATGCACGAGAGTTGTGATGCTAATCTCGAGTAATTGATGTTTATCGCAGGGTCTGTCTTCGTAGTTGCCAGCAGTGGTCTTGTGCGTGTCAAATCAGGTGTTTTGAGGCTCCCGACCTCGGTCGGTTCGGAGCTGCTATTGTCGTTCTGCACAGCAGGAACATTTAGCTGTACAGCTGTAGGACGCGTTGCCGCGCAAGTACAATAACTTCTAAGCTTCCCCCATACAGCAGTCTGTCAAGGATGCAGAGAGTTTTCACGCACGCTGCCGAGAGCATCTCTCTTACTCGAAAGGATTCCATTGGGGTTGTGAAGGGCGTTTCTTTTTTAGTCTCTCGGGGAGGGCAAATGGTTGAGATATCATCAAGCTGTTTGCACAGTGCCTCAAAAGGCAAGTTTACCTCGAGCGGGGGACGTGTTCAAAACTTCAACACGCCATGGATAGAGCGTGCACCCTCCCGCGTATGATGAGGTGCTGAAAAGTGTGTGCACGCACTCCAGCAGCATAGCAGGTTCACGGTCAGCACGCCCATAGATCTCGTTAAGTGTATGCATTTCGGCACACGCCAAGAACGCAGAACAGGAGAGTCGCCGACTACTTCGACACGAGGCTATCACTGCTTTCTGTTACGCCATGAGTCGTGCCCTTTTTGGGTTCGGACTGCGGGAAATCAACCGTAGCAGGCATACAAGGACGACAGCATAAATACACAGGCGATGCCAACAACACGCCACGAGCTACCTCGAGGCCGGCCACCTCGTGTAGATCCAGCGACACGATGCAAACCAGGGTAAACCTTTTGATCAAGAGCGCATGCCCCTCTCTCGAAAACATACACCCCTGGCGCCTCCAAGTCACGGCTTGCTACCACACAGTAGCAAGAAGGCGCACTGACAACGCAATGACAATGTCTCGTGCGAGTACGCGCATCCCATCGACAAATACCAATGATATGTCGGGTAATTCCCCCCGTTCGAACTCACCCGCTGGACCGATTTTCAAAGCTATATTTTTCAACAGCAGCAACAGTCGCAGGGTCGAAAACGGCGGCGTTGAAGCCGTCAGGTGGAGAGCTCTCTGAAAATGTATCCTTTCGTCTATGCATCCTCTTCGTCGTGGAGTTATCGAGCTTCGAAAATCGGTCCAGGGGGCTTGTTTTCTTGTGTCGTATTCGGTAGTCAGCGGAAGTGAAATTACAAGGGAGGTAGGACGAACGTCGGGCTACGTGCCCGGTCACCAGCAGCAGCGAAGTACCGCCCCGGACTTGTTTCGGTGAAAACATTTGTGTCGTGCGCACCCACCGCGACACCACAGAATATCACCCCTTGAATGCAGTGTTGGTGCCGAAAAGCGCAACCGAAGCTTGAGCAGTGCCTGCCAGAACGCGTACCACGAAGTCAGGCCTTGTTCACCACCGTCTCCTCCGAGATTCTGTGTTTTCCCGACACCTTCTTGCCAAGAAAACCACGCGTCGAAATTCCCTCCCCAACCCGCCCGTTCGCGGTACCCCCACCCACCGCAACCCCCTCTGTCCACGACGAACAGAGGCCCATCCTCCTCAAGGGGCACGAGCGTGCCATCACGTGCGTGGTGTACAACAACGACGGGGACCTCGTGTTCACGGCGTCGAAGGACCAGATCCCGTCCCTTTGGTACGCCAAGACTGGGGAGCGGATCGGCACCTACCAGGGGCACCAGGGGGCGGTGTGGGACCTTTCGGTGTCATGTGAGTATTATAATCACCGTCGTCTCGAGGACGTTTGGGTCGACGTCGTGTTTAGAGCCTTCTTGTGGTACATCATGATTTGCGATGGTGATCCAGCGGGCTCGACGCGCATGATGTCGGCTTCCATCTCTTTGCCCCCGACCGTGCATAATTGCGATAGTGATGCAGGGGATTCGACAAGAACCATCTCGGCGTCGGCGTTTATTTTGATTTTCTTAACGCGCTCGTACCGTGCATGATGATGTGTGATGATGATTCTCTCTAACGCGTTCGTACCGCGCATGGTTATTGCGAAAACGGATCCAGGAGATTCCACAAGGATGATCTCGGGGGTTGCTACTCTTCTTCTTTGGCGTATCTGCTTTCTTGACATGTTCTCTACGCCTTCTTTACCATCCATGACGATTTGCAATGGCAATCCAGGGGATTCGACGCGCATGCTCTCGGCTTCGGCGGACGCCTCGGCGCGAATGTGGGACGTGCAGACCGGGCGGGAGCTGGTGGTGTACAACCATATGGGGCCGGTGCGATCGGTCGCTTTCGCGGAAGGGGGTCAGCGGTTCGCGACGGTGTCGGACCCTTTCACCGACAGCCCGGGTCTCATCTCGGTGTTTGAGGCCCCGGACGATGTGCCGACAGACCAGTGTAAGTATGTTTTTTTTGGGGGGGGGAGTGTACTCACAGTCGTGCATGCCATAGTCGTTAGACCATTGACCTCGCATCCCTACAAAGCCGGAACGGAGCACCCCAGGTTCTCACCGGACCAGGCTCTCACATCACCAAGCGCGAAGCGCCGTGAGGTATTCGGCGAGTCGCGTGAAGGGTGCGCTGCATCCTGCTGAGGGTATTCGGCATCTTGTGCTTACTTCCTTGCGTACGGATGACAGCTTCGTATGACTTCATTTATTTTCTGGTGCTTTTACTTCCAGAGGCAGTTGCAAGCACTGTATAACTGCCTCGAGGGTGCTTGACCAGTTTAACACAACGTGGTGCGATCATCCCCCTCGCGCGGAGTGAGGGTTCTCGACCCCGCACAACATGACCTACTCGACCACCATTATGGTTGCCGCCAAAAAAAACAGAGGTTACAAAAAGAAAACGGTAACCTGGTTGCCGAGTTCACGAAGTGAATTGGCTTGTTTTACAACGTCGTTGCCAAGCGACGTAAACCCAATCCCGATGGCAAACACCGGGGGGGG